TTCCTCTTCTTCTTTTTCTTTTTGTTTAAGATAAACAAGTATTTAATTGAAGAATGTAATCATAAAAAAAAAAATAATATGTACAAAAAAAAAATACGACGAATCAAATGAATAGTGAATTGTTGTTTTTTTTTTTTTTTAAACATCGTCATCAACGAAGGTGAAGGTCAAGAAAAGATTAAAGTTTTTACTTTTATTTCTTTTTTTTTGTTTTTTTTTTTTTTTACAATTTATTCATTGTTAAAAATTTACGACGTATAATCTTCTTAAATTCCGCACAAAATAAAAAAAAAACAGAAATAAAAATGAATGAGTTAATTTTTTCAACTCATCGTATATTACTTTGTAACGTTAGAATCGATTGTATGTATAAGTATTATGTATATATGTATATTTTTATGCTGTTTTTTTTTCTATTTTAAAAATGATAATTATGGTCTTTAATATGCGTCATTAATGTCAAATTCATTTTCTTATCATTCATGCGAATTATTATTATTCAAATGGATAATGATAGTTTATGAAATCTACCAATTGTAAAAAAAAAAACAAATTGATTCTAATTCTATTAAAAAAATAAAATGTATAATAAAATAAAAATAAATAAAATTAGAATAAAATAAAATAAAATAAAATAAAATAAAAATATAAATAAGATTTTTTTTTTTAAATAGAATCTACTAATCACAAATTAATTTATTATGAAAAAAATATAATATAATATAATATAATAAAATAAAATAAAATAAAAATAAAAATATACGTAACAATTTTAACAAAATGGAATCTGTACCAATCATAAATTAATTTATTATGGAAAAAATTTAATAAAATAAAATAAAATAAAATACAATAAAATAAAATTAAATTAAATTACATTACATTAAATAAAATAAAATAAAATAAAATAAAATAAAATAAAATTAAATTAAATTAAATTAAATTAAATTAAATAAAAGATATATATATATATATATAACAAAATTTTTATCAAATTTAAAAATTTACTCAATTTTAAATTTAAATTGACTCATAGACACACACACACACACATACACATAAAGATTCATATTTTTATTTTAACAACTAACAAATGTGCATTCGATTTCGATAAAATATCGATCTTGTGTGAATTATTTTAAAAACAATGTGAAATTTGTCAATAAAATAATTTTTAAATTCAATTTAACAAATGTTGAACAACAACAAAAAATACAAAAAAAGGAAATTCGAAAACATTCTTCTTATTAAACACAAAAAAACAAAACAAATTTGAGGTAAGGAAATGAATATTCGTGCATAAGAAAATACGTGAACTGATGAATTATATCGTTGAAAATGGATTACATCGTATCAAATGAATTACCATAATGAAATATCATCATCAAGGTCACCCGGTATAATAACATGTAAGTCATTGATTTCTTTTATTGGTGTATCTGAACAACTCCAACCCGATTGGTATAAAGCCTATACAACACATACATACCTGTACACATACCTGTACACATACGTACCTGTACATAAAATGATTTAGGTTTACCTCGAATAAACCTTGATATTAAAAATGATAGAAAAATATAAAAACAGAAGAGAAGACAAGAAAAAAAAAACAATTCAATGATAAAATCATCTAAATGCATCTAATTAAATGTAAACATCTTCATCTTCCTTGTAAAAAAAAAAGGATGAGATAGAAGTTAGATGATTTAATAAACAATTATCATAAACAATTTAATTGTATCTTACAGTAAAATATAAAAATGATTGAACAACACTACTACTACTACTACTACTACTATTGTAAAGTTTCTTGTCGTCATTTTTGACCTCCATAAAAAAAAAAAAAAAATGTAATAAAAGGTTTGAAAAAAAATTAATAATAAATGAAAAAAAAAAAAGATGAGATAGAAGTTAGATGATTTAATAAACAATTACGATAAACAATTTAATTATATCTTACTGTAGAATATAAAAATGATTGAATAACTACTACTACTACTACTACTACTATTATAAATTTTGTTGTCGTCATTTTTAACCTCCATACAAAAAAAAAAAAAATGTAATAAAAGGTTACAAGAAAAATTAATAATAATGAAAAAAAAAAAAAATTAGAAATATTTCCACGTTCGATGAAGGATTAATTGTTATAACAAAAACCATAAAAAAAAAAAAAATATATATATATATATTACAATTACAAATGATTATTGTGACATTGATGATTGATAATTTCAATTATTATAAATGTTAATTATTAAAAATGCTAATTAATTGATTTAATATAAATTATACTTTTTTTCTAACCTATACACAGTTATTGTTATTATTATTATTTTTTTTTTTTTTTTTAAATAAAGATTGTTCTGTTTTTTTTTTTTTTAATTTCTTCACGTCATTTTGTTTCTTTTTTTATTTTTCTTTATTTTTTTTAAATAAATATCTTCCAATAGGAAATATTTTTCTTTGAAATTTCTTTTTTTAAATTTCTTTCATAAGAAGAAATAATTTTCAAATAAAACGCCATATTCTTTTTTTTTTTTTAGTTCATAATTGTATAACACAACACGTAACTCTAATTAGATTAAATTATTATTTAAATAATAATAATAATAATAATAATAATAATAATAATAATAATAATAATAAAAAGTGTACGTTAAATGGAGGAACCATAAAGACAATGAGAAATATTAGTGAGAATGACGACCTACTTTTTCCTTTATTATTATTATATTACGTTTACGTTTAATTAAAAAAAAAGAATCTTTCACCAAGTTAAAATGTTAACTGTAAGATATAATTCTAAAACAATGTTGTAATCATACTCGACTAATTAACATAATTCTTGCAATGATTTTCTAATAAAAAAAAAAAAAAATAAGAAACAAACTAGAATGTTACGTTATGTTAGACTGTTATATTAGAAATAGAGAATGCTCGAAATGAATATATGTTTTATTAATTAGATATTCCATAAAATCACGTTCTTTTATAACAAGATGATTAAAAAAAAAAAACAAATTAAATTTAATTGAAATATTATTACAAACAAAACAAAAACAAAAACAAAAACAAAAAACTAAATAAAATATATATTACATATTATATATATTATACAAGGAAGTGTGAAATAAAAATTAAATTATAAGTAATCTAATTAAAATACTAATGTAATATAATAATAATAATAATAATAACAATATTAAGTAGACTATTACAAAAAAAAAATAATAAAAATAAATTTATAAATTAGAAAGTTCATCCTATAAAACATTAAAGTTATCTTCACACATAATGTTTTAAATACTAATACAATATAGAAATTAAAATAATAATAATAATAATAATAATAATAATAATAATAATAATAATAATAATAACAATATTAAGTAGACTATTACAAAAAAAAAATAATAAAAATAAATTTACAAATTCAAAAGTTTATCCTATAAAACATTGAAGAGTTATTTTCACATAATATTTTAAATACTATGATAACTTTAATTAACTGATAACATTAAATTATGATACTGATACAATCTAGAAATTAGAATAATAATGTAATATAATTATAATAATAATAATAATTATTATAATAATAATATTAACTCGACTATTAGAAAAAAAAAAATAATAATAATAAAAAAATAAAGTTATATATATATATATATATATAAAAGTTTATCTTATGAAACACGACGAACGTCATTTTCTAAATTAATTCGCTTGAAATACTAATAAAATATAAAAATCATGCAATCAAATTTAATGTTATTCGTGTCAATGGCATTGATGATATAAAATGTAATTTTCTTCACATCGTAAGACCATAATCAAAGACCACCATGTTGATTTTAAACGAGATTTGAATGTCAAATGTTATTAATTCACGAAATTCATGTCGAGCATTACAACATTTAATATTTAAATATTTCTTTATTAGATAAATTCATTTATCTATTAAAATTATTATTGTTAAACATTTTTTTGTTATTTTTTTTTAAGAATAAATAAAAATTGGAAGCCTCAAAAAGCATCTTTTTTTTTTTTATACACCAGTCATTTTGACTAGTGTGGTAGAAAATGGTGGTATATCTAGTGTTAAACATCTTAATATATATATAAATTACGTGTCACGTTGTTTGTCCGCAATGGACTCCTAAACTACTGAACCGATTTGAATAAAATTTTACACACTGTTTGCAGTTTCATCCAACTTGAAAGATAGGATAATTTATATCTCAATTTATAATCGGTATAAAGTAATTCGTTGAATTAAAGACGTGTGTATTAGACTGATTGTGAGCCACAGCAACACGTGACGAGGCACCCCTACTATAAATATATTTTATAAACCATAAATTCTTTAATTGATTTACTTGAAATTTATCTTGCAAAAAAATAACACAAATACAATTAAAATATCTATAATAAAAATCAAATATATAATTAATGAAATGTATGTGTGTAAGGTATTATTATCCTCTATTAGAATTATATTTCCTATTTATTCAATTTTATTTTTCTAACTATCATCGAAATTCAAAATGTTCAAAATATAACGCAAGATTTATTGTGCAACATTAAGGAATGTAGTTGAAATAAAAATGCTGACCACGTAGTGGTTCCTTACCAATGCCATTCATGTTATGACCATGACCACCACCACCACCATTGTTGTTGTTGTTGTTGTTTTTGTTGATTGCTGTTTTTGTTGTCCCTTCGTTGATTATTTTGTTTTCATACAAAATTTATTTCATATTCAGTTCAATTTCTTTTTTTTTTTATGAATACATTTAAACAAAAAAACCAAAAAAATTTAATTATAAAATCGAGAAACATTGTTTTATTTGTGTAAAACAAACGCGAACACAAATTTTGATTCCACTGATGAAATTTCAATTGATGACAAATTTTTCAAACACGTCACACGTTTTTTCTTATAAAAAACAGTCACGTAAACCCATAGATTTTAAATTGTTTTTTTTTTTTTTCCCCATTACGAATGTAGACATAAAAATAAAAAGTTTCGTATTGTCGTACAACTTGTTTCTTTAACAGCATTAAACATGAAACGCATATTTATATACAGTTTTAATTATATTATCTTGAAAATAACTAGTTCAATATTTCATTGGATGAAATTACGATAAATCAAAATAAATATTTATTATATTTCAAGAAATTGTTAAATTTCTGTATCATTTGTTTACTCATTTAACTCTTTGGGACATAGTGGAATTAAAAATGTCCCACCCACCCTTTTTGATAAACCTTAATGCATGGTGGGACGTTTTTAGTCCCACCTCGAAATATTATTGCAATAGCTACACATGTTCATAAGTTTATATTTAAAACGTGCAACATAGGAGGGGCTATTTTATTATCTGAAGTTCTGTGCTGCAAAGAGTTAAATAAGAATGCTGTTAAGAAACGAAAATTATCAGAAAGACAATAATAAATATTAAATGTTTAATAATACAATATCAAGACCATTTATTAGATCAAAAATAATACAAATCAAATCTATTTAATGTTTAATATATATGTATATGTGTGTATACTAATAAATGATCTTGTAAAAAATGATCTACAAACAAATATTTATCACTTATCCTGTTTGTTTGTTTTTACACGTGGTAAAATACATTTTATTTATTATTACCACATGTGCTTGCTTATTAATGAGCTTTCTCATTAACACAGTAATTATAATAATAGTTTACCTACCTACTACCAAATGATCAACATTTTATCTATCAATTTCACCAAATACTACATCCAAAGTACCAATAATAGCAACGATATCAGCTAAGAAGTGACCTGGTCCAATATGTTTCAAACAAGCTAAATGTGCAAATCCAGGAGCCTTGATTTTACACCTGTATGGTTTACTAGTACCATCGCTGACAAGATATACTCCAAATTCACCTTTGGGTGCTTCAATGGCTGTATACGTAGCACCTGGTGGTACCTGGAAGCCTTGAGTGTATAATTTAAAATGATGAATTAAAGCTTCCATACTAGTTTTCATTTCTTCTCTACGTGGTGGAACAATTTTGGCATCGTCACATCTAACTTCACCTGGTGGCATTTTGTTTAAACATTGCTCGATTATTCTAAGCGATTGACGCATTTCTTCAACACGTATGAGGTACCTTAATTTGAAATCAAAATTAATTGATGATTTTATAAAATATCATTCGAATGAAATTTACATTTATTTCATTATTATATAACATTACCTGTCATAACAATCCCCATTTATGCCAACAGGAACATCAAAGTCCATTAAATCATATGCATCATATGGTGCTTCTTTTCTCAAATCCCATTTAATTCCAGATCCTCTTAACATTACTCCACTGAATCCCATATTTAATGCATCTTTCGCTGTAATTACCCCAATATCTTTAGTACGTTGTACCCATATTCTGTTTTCTGTCAACATATCTTCAACTTCATCGAGTCGTTCCCCATATTGCGATGCCCATTCATGAATATCATCTAATAAACCTAATGGAAGATCCAAAGATACTCCACCAGGTCGTATATAAGCTGCATGCATACGAGCTCCACTAACACGTTCATAAAATTCCATTAATTTTTCTCGTTCTTCAAACAACCAAAAGAATGGTGTCATAGCACCAACGTCCAATGCGTGAGTTCCAATTCCCATAATGTGATTTAAAATACGAGTTATTTCAGCAAATAATACTGCAATCAAATACATTTTATTATTAGCACATCAACTTTTCTATATTGTTAACTTTCTCAATAATAAACACACACACACACACACACATATACACACCTCGAATATATTTAGCACGTATAGGTACATCTATATTTAATAGTTTCTCAATTGCTAAAGAGAAACATTGTTCGTTACACATCATAGAAACATAATCCAAACGATCAAAGTATGGTAATGCTTGCAAATAGGTTTTATATTCTATAAGCTTTTCCGTAGCACGATGCAAAAGACCAATATGTGGATCAGCTCTAAGAACCATTTCTCCTTCTAATTCTAATATCAAACGTAATACTCCATGAGCAGCTGGATGTTGAGGTCCAAAATTAATATGTACATTTTTTAACTTTTCTTCTGGCTTATCCTCAGAAGGATAACCTCCTGGATATGGCCAATTTACAGGATCAACCGGTATAGCTTTTGGAGCATTTGTGTGTGAGAAAAATTCTGGATCTGGTACCCAAGCATGACCATATCGACGTTGTCTACAAACCATTATTTTATTATTACATATTATTCTAATAACATCAACTAAAAAATTAAGCACAAAATATACATATATATATATATAAAATATAAGTAGTGTTATGTAAACATATTATAATAGAATTGTATTACATTAACCTAAAAATACAAAATAATAAGAAAATACATTGAATAAAAACTTACGTAGCAGGATATAATTGAGCACCATTTCGCATATGCAATGTTGCATCGTTAAAAGATCTTAAAGATCTTCGTAAGACAGTTCTTAACACTCCAGCCGCCATGATGCAAAACTAATCTAATGTAGTTGTTCTACAGCTGTCGAACGGAACCGAATCTAAACGAACGTAACCGAACCTCAACGCATAACCGAACCTAAACGAACGTAACCGAATCTCAACGCGTAACCGAATCTAAACGAACATAGACGAACATAGACGATATCTTCGAGATAATGAAAGATCGATAAATATTCGATAAATATCTACATTTATTTGAAATGTAATTCGATTTTATATTGAAATTATTCATTTAATTAATAAATTAATATATGAAATATTTCAATACTAATTAAAATTGATTAAATGTTAGAATATAATTAAATGACTTACTTATTATCATCTGAATCGCTTATTATCAGCAGAAGGATGCTGAAGACCAAAATTGATTAGAACATATTTTACTTTGACACCTGGCTTATCATTCAATTCAATTGGTAATGGATATGACCATTTTATTGGATCAAATTGGTCTTATTAATGATATTTCTTCTTTGTTAAAAAGATCAGCATCTGGCACCCATTTGTGAACATGGCTGCTATACAATAATACACATATATATATATATGAATATCAACAAAATGTAAGATTATTTCGAAAATACTTACTTACGAAAATATTTGTTAATACTATTTCGAGAAATACGCACAATTTCTTTAAATATTGCAACAGATTGTCTAACAATCATTATACAAATATTTTCGTAATAATTGCTACGATATAAATACAACGTGAACCAAATGATTACTAAACAAAAACAAATTAAAAACGTAGAAAACAAATGAGACACGTAAAAATCGAATTTTATCGAATTTCGATCTTTTCGATCCCTATCGATTATTTTCAAAATACAATAATAATATTAAAAAACGATCCATCAATTTGGTTTCTATGGGAATACTCCGATATTGTTTGGAGTTGTATTATTTAATATTCTATGGTAATATAAATCCGTTTATATTTCTCCGAGTAAAAAACTCAAAACAAGGAGTTCAATAAAGTGTTTAAAAAAAAAAAAATAAATTAAGAATTTTTTCAAAAAAAAAAAAAAAACAATGTCCGTAACAAATGGAATTACAGCAAGTAATGGTTTGACCGGACAAGAAGGAATACCAGAATGGGATCAAAATAATACAACAACATTGATACAAATGTACAAAGAAAGAAAATGCCTTTGGGATACTAGTCACGAGTTTTACAAAAATCGACGCTTTCGTCGCGAGGCACTTACAGAAATGGCGAATCATTTCAATTGTTCTTTGGCGGATGTTGAAAAAAAATTATACATGCTTCGTAGTTCATTTCGCAAGGAATATCGTAGATGGAATTATGCCAAATTAAATGCAGGACCTAACAATACGTTTTTAGTTAGAAAACCACAATGGTTTGCATTGGATTTATTAATGTTTCTTAAGGATGACGTTATTAAAAAATCATTGATACCAATAAATCAAATTAAAATAGAAAATTGTAATCAACAACAACAGCAACAGCAACAACAGCAACTGATAAATCAAGCCAATCAACAATTTCATCAAGATCATACAAAATTGCAACAAGAGACTCAACAAAAGCATCAACAACAACAACAACAACAACAACAACAGCAATCTCAAAAGGATTTGGATTTAAACGTACCGGTAATAATATTAATATAATAATCTTTTATATTTAAAACAATTAACACACGTTTCATTATAAATAATATTCTTAAATAATCATCCTGTATATTTTTTTCATCTTTCCCCCTGTCCCAATTGTAGGAAATTCAAAATGTTTTTTATTACGACAGCGAGAACAGTACTTTAACGCCATTGGAACCGGGCGAAGTTACTTTGGATTACAATTTACAATCAATACAAGTATCCGATAGAAAACAATCGCCTGGTAAAATATTAAAAAGAAATGTTAACGTTGAATCATCATCAAATCAAATTGATGTATCATCTAATAGCAACAGCAAACGTCAAAAATATAAAGAACCGGATGATACAAGATTAAGATTAATAAAAGCATCAACGATAGATAATATACAAGATAAAGATACTTTTACCGCGTTTGGCAATTTTGTTGCTGAAGAATTGCGAAATATGAAAGATAGCAGTCAGATGCAGTTAGCCAAATTACGAATTCATCAAATATTATTTGATGCTAATCGTAATGTTCTTAAAGTTCCAATACCAAGATTGTAATTTAAAAAAAAAAAAGAAAGAAAATCATTTTTGGAACACGTTTAAAAATACATTATCACAATTTCATTAAATTTACATCAAATAATTATATTACATAAGAAATATATACACACATGTGTGCTCTTTAAAAATTGCAAAAGAAAGATCAATGGATCATGGCCTTGATCATCCTTTACACACATACGTTATTACATTTGCAAAAGGACAAAGAAGATTATTGTCACATTTCAAGTTCAAATTTCTTCACGGGCATAAACGATTGCCAAAAGTTTGACGTAAGTGAGACGGTATTGAGGCTGCTGCTGCTATTTCGAGGATAGAAATACGATGATGGTATCATCGTCGTACTTAAACCAACGGCCAACATTCTACGCATCCTAATCCCCGATTGAAAAAATTATGGTTGTTGTTTTAATAGCAATAACTTTAATAACAAACACAAAATCTTCTCCAAGGGTGATTAGGAATCAAAAATATATCAGTGCTTTGTACTTTTAACTTGTTGTTGTTTTTTTCTTCTTTTTCTTTTCCTTTTTTTTTTGCGCATTTCGTTGCCATTTTTATTTTTTTTTATTTTTTTTTGTGTGTTTTTTTTTTTTTTACATTTTTTTCTTTATTTATCAATTAACACTGTATGGGATTTATCTCTGTATGTGCACGCACGCGTGTGTGTGTTAATTTATTATTATTATTCTTCTTTCGTGTACAAAGGTACAAAAATGAAATATCTCTTAACGTATGAAATCCCCCCTCCCTCCATTTTTTTTTCTTTATACAATATATACTATATTGTTGTCATCGCTTTCTTAAAACGACATTAAACAATATTAATAATAATAATAATAATAATAATAATAATAATAATAATAATTTGATCGATCTTAAAAAAAAAACAAAAAAGAAAAAACATCAACCTTCTAGGTTATGTTGTATGAAACTAAAATAAAATACTAGAGTTAAATCGTTAAAACTTAAATTATTTAAAAGAAAATGAAAAGAAAGAGAGATAATAATTAGTTTTTTGTAAAAATTAACGAATCAACTAAAACCCAAACTTTTTTTTTTATAATTCATGTAATATAATACTTCATATTTGAACTATGTCACGTTCTCTTCATTTGATGATTTTTTTTTTTTTTTTATAATACACGGTAATCAGGTAAATTCAAAGACGCACGATTAAAATACACGTGCACGTTGGAGAGATCACTCAAGACAGTGGATAAAAAATATTGTTTTTTTTTTTTTTTTTAAGTAAATTTTGAATTTGATAAACTTTCGTGTTCGCCAAATTTCGTTAATGAAAATAAATGAAATGTTCTATTAAAATGTATAAATAATAAAAGATATAGATTTAATTGAAGATAATATTAGCAAAATGAGATTGGCACGGTGTTATTTAATATATATATATATTTGTTGTTTCATGTTTTAAGTAAACACAACGTTTAATATCGTTGTTGTTGTTGCCCCCTTCTCCCCCTGTTCAATATAGAATTAAAAATAACCTCAAAAAAAAAAAAATAGGCTAATGAAAATCGTAAAGAAGATATCGATGTAAAGATTGGGGTAATTGTAAATTTCGTACAATTTTAGGTAATTTCGTGCCGCATATTCTTCGAACTATGAGCCTAGCTTGATGGGTCAATGGTAAAGGTGTTCTAGCAGCTTCCATTACTAAAGCTTTTTGTGCATCGGTCAAACTACTCGATCTTTTGATCATACAAGGATCAAAACTTTCCGCAGCTTCTAAAAGTGCTCTTAATAATTTAGGTTTATCCGCGGTATTTTGTAACGAATTTAATATACCATGTGGATCACGAAATTGTGTCTTTATGACAACCCTAGCACCATACTTTAACAAAAGTGCGACAACTTCGACTGAAGGATTTTCATTGGATGCCACGTATTCTGCTAAAACTGGACGTAATGAGAAACCTTCATCGCTGCGTATTACAAGATTAGGATCTGCACCACGTTCCAATAACATTTGAAGTATTTGCAATCTGTTGGGTATGTTGTCGGCACAAGCAACATGGAGGGCCGATCCGATGATCGGTGATGTTGCATTAACGTCAGCACCTAAAATATAATATTTCATTTATTTATTTATCTACTAGCATAATATATTTGATTATTTATTTATTAAACATGTTATACTATGAACAACGTTAAACTGGGTGGTGCACGTGTTTCATATAATTATAATAATACTTACGTTTGTATATCACACATCGACATGATACAAAATAAAAGAAAAATATATATTGTTGTTAGTATTGTTTAAATATATATATATATATATATAATTAATATAAAATCATAAAGATAATAATAATAATAATAATAATTACCAGACTCTAATAACATCTCAACGATTGAAGGATCACCCTTGAGTATAGCTAAATCTAATGCAGTTGGTTTTTGATAATCTGGTCCAAGAGATAACCTTGCACCTTGTTTCAATAAAAGATTTATAACAGCTGGATCCCCACCAAGTATAGCATAATGCAAAACCGTTCTATAATCGTGCCTTGAATCTGCCATGGAATTAACATCTGCCCCATAACTCAACAACAGTAATACAGTTGCAACACCCTAAAAACAATAACAACATTAGATAACAATAATGATTATTTTGATTGGTATTATAAATATCTTACTTGGGGTGATCTTGCTGCTTTCATTAATGGTGTTAATCCAGCACGATCCCTCATATTGGGTTGGGCACCAAAAGCCAATAAAAGTTCCATACACTCCAGATCCAAAGGTGATACCAAATTAATCTCAGAACCAAAGAAATATCTTTTGTTTGGATTTGCGCCAGCTTCCAATAAAGTCCTTGCAACTTCTACGTGACGATTTCTCAAGGCCAATCTTAATGGCTCGTCGCACATCATAGTCCTATGGGACAGACATATATATATATATATATATATGTTTACATAATACATAAATAAGGAGGCCAGTTTTAAAAGTAAATCAATATATGTGATATTATTTTTACAATCATATTATTCAATCGTTAAAGTGACGATTGATCTGATACGAGACTTTTTATTGGCTTACGATCAATGGATTCCACATCGTAACAAATATATCGATCTATATTAAACTATAAATGTTATAGTTAACAAATTAAATATAATTTATTGTTAGAAATAAATAAATATATGTATATTAATAATTGTAATGTAATATTACGTGAAATTTAAACAAAATATTTGTGAGTTTTTATTATATTGAAAGTTTACTTTAAAACTGCATCATAATTGGGAGGAGATTTGCTTTTTGTTAATAATAAACATTTATTTTGGGGAATTTTCTGATAAAATTAGAAATGTAGATATATTTACCTAGGAAATAATTCCCCAGTGTCTTTTCTATGATCAACCTTGGCGCCATATTTTAATAAAAGTTTGACGAGATCGAGAAAACCATGTTCAGCAGCCAGATGCAATGCGGAATATCCGCATTCGTCGGTTGCATCGATATCGGCACCACGTACCAATAATAATTGTGCTGCATCTATGTACCTTTGCCATACCGCATAATGTAATGGTCTTAAACCTTGGGTTACAGGCTCATTTGGTCTTGCACCACATGCAAGTAGTATCCGAATTTCATCCAGTGGTTGTAACCTTATAATAGCGTCGGCTAATTCCCGTTGTAACGGGTTGGTTATGCAATGCAACGGCATCTAGAAAATAATTTAATATATATATATGTATGTATGTATATATGGTTTTTATTTTGAAATAATATAATAAAGATAAAATGTATGATTTAATTATTTGAGATGTTTCTTAATTGTTTTTTAATGATATAATTAAATAAACAGTAATATATATAAAATAATAAAATAATATAAATTAAATATAAAATAAAAATATAATATTAATACTAGATATAGGAGACCAGTCATTTTGACTAGTCGGGCCATTTTATCTT